AACTATTCCTTGTTCCAACATGTCAGGAGAGAGTACAGATGACATTGTTTACAAGTTGCCGGCGGAAAGCTACCTCCCAGTTGTCCAGAATCTGCATAAAGAAATAAGTCCCAGTTTTTCATCTCTCAGATGAGATGAGCCAGACATTCAGCTGTTTAAAGAACCTTTTTTGCTCAGTGTAGGGGAAATGTTGCGATGTTCTAAGCATCCTGAAGGGATAGAATTGAAAAGCAGGATTCAGTAAACACATTTAGCGTGTTTTGCGCTTCTTTTCCCAGAAGTTCAACAGCTGAACTTGTTATCTTTCACAAAGAAAAATAACAGTTCACGTCCATATTGTGATTTATGCTGAATAAGTAAAAGCAGCAGGGCAAGATTTCTACCTAGTCCATGGAAGAATGGTAGGAGGGAGCTGTAACTTCTGCCTGGACCTAAGGGATAAGGGGTTGTGACCTCCCGGGTAAAGGGATAATGATTTAGTTCTTTTCTTTTGTTTGCAAGTGTAACCTACATGGGGGGAGGTAAGCTGTGTTACTTTACTTACCAGTTCTGTACTACAGAACTCCTCTATCTGACTTAAAGTATTTGCACAGACCACTAATTCATATCCTTCTTGGGAGACTACAGCTGGATTTTCTATAGGAATCCTCTAAATACTAAAGTGAAAATTATAACAGGATTCACTTTCTTTTCTTCTTAGGAATCCAGTACCAGGCTTTACCATAAGCAGTTACATGCACACACAATTTAGCAGTTCCAATTCCTCTTACTGAATAACACTCCAAAGAGAAACTGCTACAGCACAGCAGTTACAATGCTCCCTAGCTAGAGTTGCGTCACTAACTAGAGATTTGTTGTCTTCCTTTAAAATGAAGAATGGAGCATTCTAGCAGCTCAGCTTACTGGTTCATGGAAATAGCAAATGTGAATGAATATTAGAAAATATTTCTGTAAAGCAAATAAAGAAGTTATAAATATGAGTGCTTGCAACCAGAAATTTGATTCTAAGCATTATGGTTATCCAGTCAGGAAGCATAAACAGTAACATGCTCAGATCAAAATTAACAATTAAAGTTTCCGTGCAACGTTCCAAAAGTATATGTTGCATTTTTTCTCTTTTCTGTGGGCCAAATTCTGAAGTAGTTCTTCAGTGTTCTACCTTTCTGCAAACTCAACTCCCATTTATGCAATAGCAGTACATCAGCAGTATTGCCAACTCTAAATGTTCAAAAATCATGTCAGAATCAGGCCCCTCCAAGATCATGAGCTTTAAAAAAGGTGCTTTCCCCCCCGCCCCATTACTTTGCTTTCAAGATTTCAGGGTGGACTCACATCACTTCAAGCTTTTCTCTAAAACCACGAGAGCTAGAAAAGTATCAGAGGGGTAGCCGTGTTAGTCTGAATCTGTAAAAAGCAACAGAGGGTCCTGTGGCACCTTTAAGACTAACAGAAGTATTGGGAGCATAAGCTTTCCTGGGTAAGAACCTCACTTCTTCAGATGCAAGTTTACTTTTTATCTGGGAGTTAGGACCACCTGCTAGTACTACAATGGCTTTAAAATCATGAAAGTGGGCAAAACAGCAGAGTAAAAGCTGATAAGGAACTTCAGGGCTTGTCTATGTGGAAGCAATCTTTAGCCCTGCTGAGAGCAAATTCTAGGGGCTAGATTGAGACAGGCTTTATCTTGCAGATCTGTTCAGGGGTGGGGTATACAAGGAGCCTACCTGCTGGCAAAGCCTTCACAACGTCCTGTCATAATTGCCGCCCCAGCACTTGCAGGGTCTTTGCTTTTGGTGAACCCCTGGGGTGAACAGTGCCCCAGTGATGGCAAGGCGGTAGGGCCATGGTCCTACTCACACACTAACTGGTAGAGCGAGCTGGCCATACCAAGAGGCAGAATGCTGCTTTATCTTAAAGGTATGACCCCTCTTCAAGGGACCATCTCCTATTTTACACCATCCTTAAGGTACTATTCCTCCCCATAGCATGGTATGGTTCCACCACAAGGCCGGCTTGGGCCGGAAGCTAATTTTGCCATTTGGTTTCAAATGCTTTACATAAAGCCAAATTAATCATTTTGTTTCTTGTTCTTGTATAAAATGCCCGAATTCACAATAAAATGCACAGGGAAAATGTGTGCTGCTATGGAAAGGGAAAGGAGATATTTCTGAAGGAAGAAAAGTTTTTTATTTACTGTTCACTTTTACCTTAGTTGCTCTGTTCTGAACCTTTCTGGTGTTTTTACAGACAATAAAAGGGGAGAAATCTGTTTTTCTACAGAGTATGTAGTTCTAGCACATGTTTTGAAATCAAAATTGCCTGTACGAAAGGAAGGTTCAATCACCCTCTGTAGGCAGCTAAAAATTGCTTCAAATTCATGATGCTAATGGTCACAGCAAATTGCACAAGGGGGCAGATTTAATATCACACTAGGCACTACTCACTTTAGTTATTCTTTTTACAAGCACTGGCTGGACAATAGGAAATGAAAGTGTGTATAGTAAGTGGTGAGTAAAATTAAAAGGGCTGCATATTGGAAGCTATTCAGTTTTCAGCCAGTACTTCCTCAGGTAAAATTGCTATTGACGACAGTGGGAGTTTTGTCTGAGTGAGGAAAGCAGGGTTTTATAGAAATTACATAAAGAATGATTGACTGTCAGTGCTTGGAAATATTAGGCTCCTAGGCCAGTAAATATGCCTGTGTAATTATCCTGGTATTCTTGGGTTTGGACCCTTGTCCCTCACAAATAGATATTGGATATGTTAAGCTTTTTAATAAAGCCTCCTTGATCTGCAGTTACTGTACAGCTCAAAAAAATTAGCCACCCCTGTGTAAGAAGAGGCAATGGAAGCCACTTGATATTAAACATCTGGAGCCAAGTTGTTTCTCTTTAGTCTCACAAGGTGTAGTGCTTGCTTTCCTGGGTGAAAAGGTGCAGACTATTATAGTCCTTAAGTGTTTAATTGTTTCTATATGCCTTGGAATTTTAAAGCGTTTCGGATGTATTTGGTAGTAGCTTTTCTTCTATAATCAGGTTGCTATGGTAAACCTATTATTCTAGTCAAAGAACGAGTATGTAAGTGAAGTGCTGATCTCTTTGGTTTCATGTGAGCCTCTAATTACTCTCGAACGGATTGAGTTTGTACTGCATGTATGGTTATCACAATAAGAAGTAAGAGAATAAGGTCATAGAGAGTGTGCCTGCTGTTATTTCTGTGCAGATGCATTTGATAAAATAGTACTATGGCTTGAATTATCTCACTCTGGGTTCGGAAAATGCTCTCTGCTGATTTTTCTGGGGAGGCATCTTTTATGTGGTGATTTGAAATTTAGTCCTCCTCAGCATGCTAATCTTTCTTTCCTTCTGTCTGTCTATCTCAGGAATTGGCTGTCTTCAGGATTATTTGTTTGTTTATAAATGTGAAATTTGCTTGAGGTTACTTGAGTATACCCCAGTTGAGCAGGGGAAGAAAGCATTCAAAACCTCAGATCCAATGATCATTCTGGTTCTTTGAGATGTAAACTAAAAATTAAAATCAAGTCACTGCTCTAGCAACACAGCGCCATCTTTACTAATGTAGTCAAAAAGGTAGAAAGGAGTTACATTATATGACACAAGATTCTGGAACTATTTGTAAAAGAGGGGAAATGCATGAGTTAATTTGTGTAAGATTCTTATTTGTCACCACAATAAAAATATTCTTTTAAAATGTACCTTTTAAAATATTTCAAAATCACAGCAATACATATTTGATACAACTCTTACCCTTTAAGAATTCAAAATAGCTTTTGGTAAAATTTTCCCTAAGGTACTTTTAATATGTCTACACAGCATTTGGAGCCAGCAGGTGTGAACCTCCCTGCCCAGGCCGAGAGATGTGGACTAGCATGACTCATGCAAGTACTCTAAAAACAGCTCTATAGACAGTGCTTGGAAGTTGTGGCTTGGGCTGGAGCTCGGGCTCTGAAGCCTAGGGGTGCGGGTGGGCTTCAGAGCTTGAGATGCAACTTCAAAGTGCTGTCTATAAAGCTATTTGTAGAGCACCAGTGCGAGCCCTGCTAGCCCAAGTCTGTCGACTTGAGCTGGGTTACTCACTCCCCCTGGCTCCATAATGCTATATAGACATACCCTAAGTGACTTAGGAGGCTGTGTCCCAAATTATGTTTAATTAGTTTGGTTTTTTTAAGAGGGGAAAAACTGGTCAAATAGAAATTTCCAAATCAAATCCATTAGGAGATCCCATCCATTATGATAGTCTTTTCTTACATGGCCACTTACTATATTTCCAGAGGCCCCTGCCTCAGTCAGTGTTCATGAGGTTATTGGGGAAGAGCATCTCTTGGAGCTTGGCTGGCTCCATTATCCCTTCCAACTTCATGGAGTCCCAGTATAGAGAGGACTGGTGAGGCTGGAAGAATATTGCAGAGGTTGCATTTCACCCTGCTGTGTCCTTCAAACCCAGATCTGCAGGCACAGTCTCACCTCTGTTTAAGAAAGAGGACAGGTCATAGTAGCATTAATTCTTTACTTTCCTGTTTGGCATTTGTACCAAAGTGTTAGAGTTATGCTACTAGTATCCCATACTAGAAAGCTTTCCTGGGCCACTCTGTAAATTACTTTTCTAGATGATTTCATTTTAATTGCATCCACATCTGGTGTTCATACCACACATACCAAATGTTTGAATTAGTTTGGAGAGTTAATTATGTAGGGAAACATATACCATAGTTCAGCTATGCAAAGGTAGGGGCTATAACGTGATACAATTCCCATTAATACTGACAAGAATAAAACTGTAAAGAAGATTAATGCCATTCCCACCAGCAACATGACATTATTTTGTTTTCAACAGTTTTTCTTTCTTACAAGTGTTCACACTTCAGCTGACCCAGACTGACTTGTGCTTTATGTCTTTGTAGGAGCAGAACATTTGCCCCCCGTTTTTTATTCATTAAATCTTGATGATGTTGTGACCCTAACAACTGTTTTTTCTCACAGGGAAATGTGAATGTGGCCAGTGCACTTGTTTCCCTCCAGGAGATAACAGAGTTCATGGTAAAACCTGCGAATGTGATGATCGACAGTGTGAAGATATGGATGGCAATGTCTGTGGGGGTATGTATTCCTTTCAATAAGCAATAATTCTGTATGGATTTGTGGCTTTCCCTATTTCCCCTGATTTTGTTACAAAAGAGTATTAATGGAAACTAACCATAGCAGTAGATTGTAGTACATTTATATCTTAAAAAGAAGAAATAACAACAATCCCACAACTGAATATTTTAATTAATATTCAAAATGTCTGTCTTTAACAGTGAGGCAGATTACATGTGCCCAGTAACATTTTACACTGTGCTGAAGTTCTTACATAGATATCATCAAAATGTATCAGAAATCTGTACAGATATTTAAAGAAAAACTATGGAAGAAATGATCATATTTTCACTTTTTGACTTTATGATTGAAGACTTACCAATGGTATCACATTTTCCTTTTTTCTTTTTTAAGTTAGCAATGCTCAGCAATGTGTTAAGTGGCTTTAGCAGCTGATATTCAAGGACAGTTGTGTTTAGTATCATCTGGTACACTACAGCAATTCCACCATGTTCAATGGCCCCACCAGCTCTCACAAACTAAGCATCATTAGATTGGGTTGATATTTGGCAGTGCTCTTCTCCCAATCAATATTGACCCAATGGTCCAGCACAGCATTAAGAGCTATTTTGCCGAAGAAGGTATCTTTTAAATTAGACATGAAAAACAGTGTCTCTACTGATCACTTGTGGTCATTTCATAAATAAATTAAAAATCCAATAGCATTCTTCATAAGAGTGGAAGTGTTACTTACAGCTGATGTCCAGTACATTCTACCATCTGCCTACTTCACTTTCCCTGCATAAGCTGAACTCATCATGTGTGCCCCTAAATAGTTTTGTAATGTGTCGGGTTGTTGTGCATCATTAACAGTTCACACATATGCCCACCGAAGTTCCTTCAGTGGTACATAAAGTGACCATTGGTGTATTGGAAGGGACTTTGGGATTTTTTGGGATGAAAGGTACTATAGATCATTATCATTAATATAGAAGGCTCAAATTATCAGCAAAAGCAAGGAAACAGAATTTATTTCCTAAATCTTACAGAATCTAAGCACACTGCAGATTTTGTACTATATCACAGCTATAAATAAATTCTTTATTCTTATGTCAGCTATATGGAAACTGTCATTGATTGATTTTTCTGTAGTGGAGAATAGTATTATGCAGTACTTCAAATTAGTTTTATAGAGAGACACAATATTTTGAAAGCAATTGTGATAATATTGCTCTAAAGGTTGCTATTCTATTTGACTGATTTTTCTGAAATGACTCTATGATTTTAATAGTGATTAGTATGAACACACACATTTTAGGACATAGCTTTCTTATTTTCATGCATAAAAATTTATACAAAAACGTATGGGGGGGAGAGGAAATATTGGTGTGAAGGTGTTGATCTACAGAAAGTAGTTATTTGAGAAAATTGTAGTTAAAATCTGGTTGTCAGTAAAAAATAGCCTAAACAGGAGTTAATTAAATTAAATATCCACTAAATAAAATATGCATCAAAAAGAAGTAATTTGAATGTCATCTGTTTGTGAAAGAAGGGAGAAAGCAGAAGTTAAGAGAACGGAAAAGGTCAGTCTTATTGAATGCAATACATATATCAAAAACAAAACTAAGCATCTTCTTATGACTAGAATACCCAGTCTATTCATAATCAGCCAGTGTCTTGGTGATAATACTAAGTAAATTGAATGCCCTCAGAATTCATAGAAAGACATTACCAATACTCCTCCTTAGAGCTGACACAGCTACCATATTAACTTTTATCGTTGACTAGAGAACGTTATCTCTCTCATGAATACTCATATGATGAAAGAAGAATAGTAATCGGACAGAGTCACCTGACCATTCTCGTTGTGCAAGGGATTACATTCAATCTGTACTATTATCTGAACAAATTCTAATTTTCCCTTCAGTCTAAACAGTTCTATGTAATGGGAACACCAGAGATGAATCCATTCATTTCTATGTTTTGATTTATTTTGACTTAAAGAAAAACAGGTAAGAATACAAAAGCTTATAAAAGTACAAACCCAGTGTAAAGTTGAATCTAAATCTTAGCTCAACTTTTCTGTTTTTATTTGAACTGGTAACTTAATCATTAGCGTTTTGTCCCCAAATGAATAAGATTTACTGTTATGGATCCTGGGAGTATACTGAGAAATGATACAACTACATTTGCACCCTCCAATACATTGTTTTGTAATTACAGACATTTCTCTTCTCCTGACATGGGTGGCCGGACCAAGCTCTAAAGGAGAAGAAAATGTTATTTTCTGTATAAAATAAGCTTTTTTTCTAGTTTCTGCTGCTCTTAATATAATTTTTATATCATTGAAACAATCCAAGTGCCAAAAGCCTTCTCTGAACTGCCCTTAGCTGGGATTCAGTAGCAGCATTCAGTGCATAGAGGATTGTCCTATAAGTTTATCTGAAAGTACTTGGTTAGAACCTTACCAACAAAATCAAGTGTAATGCATTGTACTCTCCTTGAGCCTGGTTTCCTAGTCTGCACTTGTTCTGTTTTCCTCATTAGCCACTATGTGAGTTTCAAGTTTCTTCACCAGCCACATTTAGCTCTTTCTGCTTATATGTATTTATTTTTCTTTGATCTTATTCCTTCTCTGAGAATGAAGAGTCTCTGGCTCACGTCTGATCATTTCTGGAATCAGAGACCTGACATGTCCTTATATGGGCAGGGCAGCACTTAATTTCAGCAGAGGGATCTGTATGGTCCTGGGAACCAGCAATACACCAGTGAAAGGCTGGAAGGAGATGGCAAAGTGGAGGTCTGCCACAGCTGTCTTGTTGGCCATGACTTAGTAGTAGGAGTAGAAATTGCAAGCCAAACATAGCTGGATGCACTGTCAGAGCTCTTCTACTCTCTTGAAACAAACAAGTTTTTCTCAAGTATAAATGAAGGATATATCTTTTCTAACAGAGGATTTATGGGACTTTTCTGGCTATTCAAATTCCTAGGATTTTTTTCAGCAATTCTCTGGATTTGAAACCTGAGAGTACTGACTAGTTAATTAGAGCATCGCAAATTTCTCATGGGGATGTAGCCTAATCATTTCTGAACTGTATGATGTTGGGGAAAGGTGTTGATTGAGCTAAAAGAGAATTACTCAGTTTATTATTTGGAGTAAATATTTACATTCTGTGTTTTTTGGACTATCCAAATTCTATCTAAAACATATTTTTAAGCCAGCAATGGGGTTTCCTATAGCCATACTTCTAATATTTTAAAAGCATGAAAAGGTTTAAAGAAGGAAGGGGAAAAAAACACCTGATCCTGACATTATGTGGGAAGTTACTATTGAAATTCAACATTTCTCTTTGTTTTGTCCTTCTGTCTTGCTATGCACTGGCTAATGGTTTACATGCAGTTCCTGCTGCTGGATCGATCGTCAGACATGCTCAAGTGCCTGCTAGAAGGAGTTCAAATGGTCGGGGGCTGTATTTTTGGAGCAGACGGATGAGAGTTCTGTCACTACTTCCTGCTTTAAACATAAAACACTTTAACTATACTGGAACATTTAGAGCAGAACAACACCCCTAGGCTGGATGCAGTTATACTGGTATGAGTTTATATCAGTATAGCTTAGTCCTGTGTGGGAAGGGACTAAACTATGCTAGCATAAGGCACCGATATACTGATAGAACTACATCCGCACTAGGGGCTGTACAGCTGTAACTATTGTGATTAAATAACAAACAAAATACCCTGTCTGAAATAATTATACCGGCACAATAACTGTATGTAGACCAGACCTAAGTTTGTATGGTGACAACTAAATGCTTGGATTCATTAGTCTTTTCCTTGTTCCCCTTTATTTTCTTTACAGGCCCTCAGCCTGAGTGTTAATGAACCAGTAAAATATACCATTATTGCCATATTATTTATATCCTAATTATAGTCAAACTTTGACTGAAGATTTTTTATTAATTTTTAAATAATATAAATTATTTTAATTGGATATTATTTATATTAATATTAGAATAATACATATTCATGGCATATTTTTAATAAGACATACAAATGTGTCTCTACCATAATGGGCACTGTTTGTGTTCACCTACTCTGGCTTGATTTTATAGAAGAAATTCTCTGCAGAAACTCTATGCACAGCCCACAGCCCATTAGCTGATATGCTCTATTATTGCCCTCCGCCTTCAAAAGTTCAACCTTTTCTAGCACTTTTTTGGTTCTGGTGCTAATGAAGCCATAGAATAACTTGTTTGGAAAACTGTGAATGAACGTGAACTCTTGGACAAGCTGGCTGTGTGGTTTAAAAAAATAGACAGCAGCTAAAATATGATTGTGATAAGAATTGCAAAACTACAAAATCAATTGATTTATTACTGTCTCCTTTATGAGATGTGGCAGAGAGGTGTCCATTGTAGGTCCACCTATCTCTCTGTGAGCTGAGTTAATAGAATATTTAAATGGGGAATTTAGAGGACCAAGCTGTTTCTCTCCTCAGAGGCTGTAGTCACCCATTGCCTCAAAGGCGGAGATTCTTTAGCAGTACAATAACTTATACTGGGAACTCTCTTGTGTTGCAAATGGTTTCCTTTTGTGCAAATCACTTGTACAGACACAGCAGTTGCAATCCAGGATTGTTTTTGGTTGACATCTAGATCAGGTGGCTGGAGTGGTGATTTTGAGTGACAACCATATGTCTTCACTGCAGAGTTAACTGGCATTATCTACACTTGAGTTACACCTCAACCACACGGTGAAATAATAATATTCAAGCTGCTGTGTCCACACTGGCGGCACTGTACTCACTTGTGTATGGGTATGTCTTCCCTGCAGAGTTAACCTGGATGATTGGTACCCTGGTCTGAATACCCAGTGAGCCTAACCTGGACGTGAACAGCCACACTGAAATGCACTATCCAAATTACTGCATCCTCACTGCTGCTTCACTCTCTCATTGGGGTTGCTATGGTTTCTGGGGGAATATCCCAGGGATTTCTGTGCTGCATTAAGCAGAGACACTC